TTTCGTGCTTTTGTCAAATGTTTCTTTTATATTTTTAAGGTGAGACGGTCCCTGGAATAACAATGGCATTTCAGTATTTTCATACCCAGCTTTAGTTTTTTTTTTTTTTCTTTTTTCTCATCTCCTGTAGTACTTTGAGAACTGTGGGGTTGGCAGGTCTGTATGTACGTCAAGCGATATGTGAAAAGCTGCCGTGAATGTCAACATTGCAAATCTCCGCCACTGAAGCCTGCTGCTGCAATCAATCACACCACCAAGGGTGCCGTTCGATCAAGTAGGAGTGTATTTACAGGGGCCATTTCCTCTGTCATCTACCAGTAACAAGGGGATAATTGTAGCAACAGTTTATCTAACGAGATACGCTGCGACAAGAGCCCTCCAACGAGCTACAGCTTCCAATGTTGCTCAGTTTTTCGTCAAACAGATCGTTCTTCGCCATAGCACGTCCCTGTCTTGCGTGATCGCTGAACAGCTTTCATGGCTCAGCTCGTTGACAATGTATTCAAACTAAGCTTCACGAGCCATCACAAGAAGAGTGCATATCACCTGCAGACTAACGGCTTGACAGAGCGACTTAACAAGACCATCGGCGATATGTTATCCATGTATGTGGACGTTTGGCACGAGACATAGGATCAGGTCCTCCCATACATAACATTCGCATATAACACTGCCATTCGGGAAACGACACAAATCGCACCATTTCGTCTCGTCTACGGGCGTGAGGTCCAGACCATGCTAGACGCCATGTTGCCACGCGATTACGATGGGTCGGTCATACCTGGCGCTGAGCAGCTTGCTCAGTGTGCCGAAGAAGCTTGACAGTTAGCAAGCCTGCATATCACGCAACAAACTGCAGATGCACGACGCTACATCTTTGCCATCGACTGGTCACTCCCGAGTCGCTACTTTGCACCCTACAAAGTGGTGAAGTCATGTTGTCCCAGTGTCAAAAGCACTACCTAGATATCGTTCTCATTGTACGGCTCAAGCTGTACTTCATGCGTTAGTACGACTGTGTCGTTTTTTTTTTTTTTTTTTTGTCTTATTAAGTGTGCCCATAGTGTGCTCGTTTGGTTTCCTTTCGCTTATGCACTACCAGTTGCGCGAGCATCGGGGCGATGCTTTTTTCTTTCAGTGGAGGAATAATGCCACCTGGCCATAAACTGCAGCGAGCACGAGCCCACATCCAGGAGAAACGAACGAGGAAGTCGTTTGAAACAGCGCGCGCTCTCGCTGGGACTATTTGGTTCTGTAGCGTCACTGACCTGTGACTCTGTGACTACGTGGTATTCCTAGCCCAAGGTCTCTCTTTTTCACACGCGACAATATATTGGGAGTGAGGGCGACCACTGAAGAGGCGAGTGCTTGTCGCTATGACGTAATAAATGCCATCATGTGACTCGCTTCTGCTGTTGTCAGTGCAGCGCGCTTGGTTTCTACAGAGGGTCACTTCCTTTTCTAACTTGCAGGTTTTTTATACCCTAGTTGCCGCACTACCGCACGCATTCGAGTGAGCCTTAAGTAAATTAGCTTTTCGGAAACGTCGAGACACCGATACACTTCTATGATAAAACTGAAATTGGTGAAATAACTGCATTTATCCTCAGGTGTGTTAGCGGCCACTTTTTTTTTTCTTGAGCATGTACATGCTTTCGCAAAGATTGGCGTCTGGAATAGTAGATAAAATGTATAGTACGTATGACGATGTGCTTCGCGGATCTGTAAGCATAGGAATCGCCTTCATTTGTACCAGGCTAGAAAGAACGATTCCAGAAGTGTGGAATTGCAGCAACCATTCTGTTCGGCCCTTCTATGCTTAAATGAACGCATGATGCGGTGTGTTGCTTCTCGCCAGGGTGTCAGTTTTCGTGCATACGCTAAAACCAAAAATATGCATGTTCGATAGTGTGCTCAAAAAAGGAAACAACCTGGCATTGATTATCGGGTGTGCAGCAAGCAGTACAAAATACTTTTTGTACTGCGTTGATATTTAATCATTATGATGTGGTACTATCCGGAAGTTTACGCATAGGAATTTGCAATTTATTTACAGGCTGACAGGACTTTTCAAGATGTCTGCGGCTCAGGGTGGCGAAAATGATTTTGTCCTAATGCTGTCATTCTGCGTTACATATTCGGATGTCTCTTCCGATAGCAGCCGTAATGTGTTGAGCTCCTGGTGGACAAATTGGTTGATGCCAGAGACCAGCAGAGTCAATGCGAGCAAGATACAGTACTTGTAATTAATAGTCGAGAAAACGGTGCGAGCTGGTATGATCGTAACGTTCGTGCATCTCATCAATACACCTCGCGCAGAGAAGCACATGTAGTGAAAGAGAGGATTAGGGAGACAAAATATATGCAGATAAAGTTCCACCCACTGAAATATGCCTTATAAAAAATGGTCCAGCAATAATTATGGGGAAAGTAGCAGGTTGCACAAACACGGTTGTTGTGAAGAATAATGGTTTGTACCGCTCTGAAAACTATAGGGCGAGCTGTTGGCGTGAATCCTGCGTGGCAGTCTATCCTGATCAAAACGTTACTGTATTGGCTGTGCACTTTCCACGCAAAAGCATGAGTTCGGTGCATGCCATCACGCTTGAATTAGCAAGCATAAATGTTTGCGCAATGTGAGAATGCTTTGATTTACATATTACTATATAATTTTCACAACAACGCACCCTTTCTTACCAGAGCGCCACTTCACCTTGTGCGTTTATAGCGCCATGTGCACGTGCTCCGTCGAAAGTGCATGACACGGCGATTACCATACATTGTTGGCTCGCTAAAAATATTTGTTGGTGAACACTCTAGATTGTTTCGCAGTCAATAGGAAGAACCTACGCTTGCGAAGCGACAACAGCCACGGCGGAACAGCCTGAATCACGCGAGTTGTCAAACACGTCGCACAGCCGGTACCACGTGATGTCGTTTTATACGTTATAGAAGGATTCCGGCAGATGACTCCACGGTATGTCCTCGCGCTCAATATATTGCATGTTTGTTTCGTCAGCATTGGATATTTACTAAAAGCCATTGGAACCTCGCAGTTTCCGGAAATAAAAAAATTGAACTAGCAATGATGTCTGAACTCAGAATTATGCTCTCAAATACACCTTTTGATGCACCATAGCTGCTTCTAAAGACAGCCGACAGGCACTCAGACACTTCGCAGGCGACGAGTTTTGGGGTGCGACTGCTATGCCAATTGTGCCAATTTCATATAATTCTTCATCTTTGCGCCGAGCTTCGCCAAAACCATAATATTTACTGAAGTTGGGCCACGCTGTGCCAAGATGCCCGACGAGCCTCAATTTTCCCAGTTGCAATAATTTCAGCGATGGAGCCAAGTTGCCCACCTGCAGTTTGATCATCAATCAATCCAAGCGTGCAGACTCTTAAGCTTAAACCATGGTAACCTATTAAGCTAACACGCTACCCTTAATCCGATTAGGTCAGGGCACTCACGAGACACGATCAGGCAGATAAAGTAACAAAGCAGAGCACCCATTGGTCTGCTAACCGCAACGAATACCTATCGGGGGCTTGACACAACTTCGGCAAAAATGCGTTGCCATAGCCAGGAACGCTTCGCAGGAAATATGAACTTTCTGGTCTGTAAAATTGTCTATGACATGTTATCAACTAGAGCTGGGAGCGCATACCGCATTTACTGCGCGCAAAAAGAGTCGACGTGCTGTGAACGCTCGACCACGTTGGTCGCCATAGCAATGGCACATGAAACAGTTTCCTGTCTTAAAGTTGCATTAGTTGCGTCGTCCCGGTGATATATATCTGGTGCTGTTGCCGGACTAACGGGCGTGCGCCTCTGTTACTTTTTCTGGCAGAACGTCTTGCAAGCGAGCTGAGATGTTATGCCGTAAACCTAACCCCCATTGTAAAAAAGGGGGGGGGGGAGGGCGTAGCGGTGTTTGAAAATTTGACCTTGTTCCAACCCGTGCAGAATGTGCCTAAACCACCTTCGTCCCAATACACCGGCACCCTGCGAAAAAGCATATTATGATTTGAAAGAGGCTGTTAGCATTACTCACAGGACAGTAAATTTCGTTCAATTACTCAGGCATGTATACTACCGCATAATTTTGAGCATTAGTATGATGCTGATGTCTGAAAAAGTTACTGGCAATCATTTGGCGCAGTGTATGACACTTCTGCCACCCTAAAGGGAAAAAAAAGAAAAAAAAATGCGCACGTCTTTTTTTTTTTTTTTTTTTTCAGCCCTACTTCTCATCTTTCACTAATCTCTTGAATTTCAGTGTCGCTAGGTTGGCAGACCTGCGTTTTAATTCATAGATTTTGTCAAAGGATTTGACAGGAGCGGCAAGTGCTGATGTGGACTTCGTCGTTGTTTGTTCAGTGGAGTAGATGAACGACTAGTTCTATTGAAACACCAGTTCTCATGTTTACTCTGCATGATTTAGGAGACGGTGAATGACTTGCACATTTGTTTCTGAATGTGAGCCTTTCCTTCTTTGCTCCGAATTCGGTCTTTTGTGATAAAAACTACATGTTTTATTTCCCATAACCTGCTCCAAGTTTGTATTTTTGTGCTCCAAAAGCAAGATTCTGCTGCTCCAAAAATGGCTACAAATTCTATTTTGGCTGTTGCAGCCCTGCTACTAGCAGCGGCCGCATAAGCAGCTGCAAGCTGCCTACAAGGCTCGTCGGGCCCTCCGTGAAATATTTTCAGGTTGAAGCCACAATCATTGATTACGTCAACGGTCTCTCCGCAGAGATTCTTGGGGCACTATTTGCTAGTGGTTTGTGTGTTTGCACATAAATCTTGCTGTGTGTGATTTCTCAAAACTTCTTGTATTTGGTTGCTGGAGTGATAATCTCTATTTTGGGCTACTTAGTTTTCTTTTTCGCTCTGTACGTTTTTATGAAATAATTTCCCTGCATAGTTCTCGTGCCCCTCAACTTTTCGTGGTATTTCAATAAATACAGTAAACTCAATTAAATTCACATTGCAGGAGGAGCGGTGGTTCGGAAGAGGTGTCTACTGACAGTAGCTGGTTCGTGGCCGACTGTGATCGAAGCCAAGCCATTCGTCTGCTCAAGGGTCGCTGCGACGGTACTTTTCTCGTGAGACCCAGCAAGAACCCGGGGCAGTTTGCGTTGTCCATCGTGGCTGAGGGGGAGGTGCACCACTGCCTTATTCTACGCACTGAACGTGGCTATGGCTTTATTGAGCCTCTCACCACTCATCCCACGTTGCGTAGCTTGGTGCAGCACTATGCGCACAACTCTCTTGAAGAGCACAACCAACTGCTCAAGACTACTATGGCCTACCCAGTGTTTGGCTCTAGCTGAGGCAGGCCCCCCTTTTTCTGTACAGGACAACACCCTCTGCATAATGTGTACATAGCTCGCTTTTTTTATCACCACTGTTCTCTAGTCAAATAAAGATCGCTGTTTTCCTTACCTGCTCTCCTTCATTCAGTGTTGTGTGTAAATCACAAGCCAAGAAGTGTGTGAACGTGAGATTGTTCGTACACATTTATAGTAAAAACACATCGTGAAAACAAATCTGACACAGATTAAACAAAACAAGCGCGTGAACATTCCAACATTAGGACCAAAACAAGTAGCCATTGGGCAATACATTGTTTCGAGTGTGGATGCACCCCAAACTTCCACCAGGTGTACATCGTGTGCCAGTACTGAGATTATGCGCTCGCAAAATAGTCATATCACATATGCAGTCAAATCACAAAAATTGGTGGCGCACTATGCGGGACCTTATGTTGTTGTAGACTGTATAAGCAATTTAACTTGCTGCATAGCACGTCTTCATTCAAATGGCCAACGATCTGCAAAGACTGAACTTGTCCACATAGCACGTTTGAAGCGCTATATTCCCAAAGAGACTCTGACTTGCCTGGTGGGCTTCGTCTGCGTGGAGGGAAATGTTACTGTAACATTTCCCTCCACGCAGACGAAGCCCACCCGGCAAGTCGGAGTCTCGGTCTTTGCAGATCGTCGGCCATTTGAATGAAGACGTGCTATGCAGCAAGTTAAATTGCTTATACAGTCTACAACAACATAAGGTCCCGCATAAGGTCCCAATTTTTCACACAACCCACGTTTCCTAGTTGGCACCCACAGCAACACGAGGTCTCCACAATTAGGTATAAATCGGGTGTCGACATTGAAGATCAAAACGTGTCTTCCAGCGATCTTGCGAAGCGAGGGTGCGCAGGTAAGCAAGACGTCAGGCTTCTTCTGCACGGCAGATGATCTCGGATATGCCGGAATCGTGGTGGTCCAAAAACGGGAAGACTGTATCCAGGGTATGACGAGGCAGCCGAGCATACAGAAGAAAGAACGGACTGTAGCTGGGAGCTTCATGCTGTGCGGTGTTAAATGCGTAAGTGACAAAAGGTAGCACGCCGTCCCAGTTCTTGTGATCTGCTGCGACATACATAGCATATTTGTGAGGGTCCTGTTAGTTCGTTTTGTCAGGCCATTTGTTTGGGGATGATGTGGGGTAGACTGCCGAAAGCTTGAATCACATAGACGAAGCATCTCTTCCACCACGTCTGCAGTGAATTGTCGCCTACGATCACTGATAACAATTTTAGGAGGTCCATATCGAACCACAAAATGCAGCATGAATAAACACACATCAGCTGCAGTTGCCGATGGTATAGTAGCTGTCTCGCAGTACCGTGTTAAGTGATCGGTACATACAACTATCCAGCGATTGCCACTAGAAGACCTCGGAAAGGGCCCTAGAAGGTCAATCCCAACTTGCTCGAATGGAGTTCTAGGGGTGGAATAGGATGTAGTCGCCCTGGAGGAGCACTAGTAGGGCGCTTGCTGCGTTGACACTCGTTGCAACTAGAGACGTACCGTTCTGTCGTCTGGCGCGTTTTTGGCCAGTAAAATTTTTCTTGAAGCCGGCAAAGAGTTTTCGCTGTGCCTAGATTGCCCGAGGTTAGGTCATCATGCATACCCTGCAAGACGGAAACACGAAGACTCTTCGGAACCACGAGAAGAGATCGCAAGTCGGTCGTAGCATAGTTCTTTTTGTACACAAGCCCGTCGCACATGCAGAAGCGAGTCGCCGATAATCTTGACTCAGTAAGAAGGAGCTCCTGTATGGTGCGGTCCCTTTGCTGCTCAATCTTAAAGGCATTGGTATCGGAAAATGGTTGGTTCAGTGATGCGATGGAGGTGTCGAAATTGCCCACGTCGCAGTCCATCGTTGGAAGCGGTAGTGGCGAAAGACAATCTGCGTCGACGTGGCGTCGGCCGCTTTTATAGAAAGCCGTGAAGCCATATTCTTGTAGACGAAGTGCCCAGTGTGCCAGCCGACCAGATGGGTCACGCAGATTGACCAACCAGCAGAGAGAATGGTGGTCTGTCATGATGGTAAATGGGCGTCCGTACAGGTAGGACTGGAAGCGCTGCACTGCGAAGACTACTGCGAGGCATTCTTGCTCTGTGTTGGTGTAGTTACGCTCAAACTTGCTTAGCGAGCCACTTTCATATAAAACGACATGTTCTTGGGTATCCAAGCGTTGGACCAACATGGCGCCTACACCGACATTGCTAGCGTCTGTGTGAAGTTCTGTGGGAGCCAGAGGATCGTAGTGTCGAAGAATCGGATGGAATGTCAAAAGGAACTTCAACTCAGAAAAAGCGGACACACATTTCGGAGTCCAGTCAAATGGCACGCCTTTCTGAAGCAGGCATGGGAGTGGGTGCACGATATTGGCAAATCTAGGAATGAATCGACAGAAGTATGAGCAGAGGCCTAAAAAGCTGCGTAGTTCTTTCGCTCAGTGAGGTTGCTTGAATGCCTCCACTGCAGCCGTCTTTGCAAGATCCGGTCGTATGCCTTCTTTGTTCACCAAGTGTCCAAGGACAAGTGTTTGGCGCTTTCCAAAATGACATTTCTTTGAGTTGAGCACCAAGCGTACTTTACTTAGGCAGTTCAGCATGAGGTCGAGGCGCGTGTTGTGCTCACAGAAAGTGCGCCCCAAAATCACAACTTATTCCAGATAACACAGGCATACTTCCCACTTCAAACCACGTAGAATGTTGTCCATGAAGCGCTCAAAAGTTGCTGGCGCATTGCATAGTCCGAATGGCATCACATTGAATTCAAAAAGTTCATCTGATGTAACAAATGCCGTTTTCTCTCTCTTTCTCGTGCATTGGAATTTGCCAGTACCCTGACCTCAAATCAACTAACTGTAATGATGAATGTATGACATGATAAATAGTGGGAGGCTGATGAAAGACTGTCAATAGCATCATATACGTGGTAGAGGATATACGTCCTTCTTTGTGATGGCGTTGAGACGACGGTTGTCAACGCAAAATCGCCATGTTCCATTTTTTTATTCTTGACCAATATTACAGGTGCGGCCCACGGACTGTGTGATTCCTGAATCACATTCTTCTTTAGCATCTCGCCAACCTGTTCATTTATCACTGCGCGTTCCGAAGGTGATACCCGGTATGGTTTTTGTCGGAGAGGTCTGTGGTGTGCCATATCTATGCGGTGCTTTACATGAGAAGCAAGGAATGACAGTGGAGGCTGCAGCTGTGCGAAATCGAAAAGACCAGCATGTTTGCGCAGAATACTCGCCAGGTAATCACGCTCGTTGGTGCTAAGAGACTTGTTAATCATTGTCATTATGGAGGTGTCCCTGGCGTGCAGATGATCGGAATCGGGCTTATCCGGAGAATCGCTGCTCTCTGCAAGGATGGCAAGGGAGAACACTTGATGTTGACGGATCTTAGCAAGTTGTAGACTCTCTGGCAGTACCGAAGGTTCATTGGAGCCGTTGATCACCCACAAACCAGTATGCCCTTGCACAACCGACAACGTACAATAGGGTATGATAACTTTTTTCTTGATGCAGCTGAGGTGAATGGGCTCTACGGTGGCATCAAATGTCGTCTCGGTTGAAGGGGAACTGACAACAGGAACACATTTGGCAGACAAGGGTGGTACAGTTGTGTCCATGGGCACGCAAAGGGTGTTTCCCATACAGGGCGGGCTTTCCATAAATGCTACTGGAACATGTGAACCAACTGCAATCTACCCTGTGCGGCAATCGGCAGTGGCACCACAAAAACTCGGGAAATTGAGTCCTAGAATTACATCATGCGTTGAATGAAAGAGAACAGCAAAATCAGAAATAAAATTCTGGCCTCCCAAACTAACAGTCACTGTGCAGATACCAAACAGGTTGTAAGACATCTCTGCTCACTCCACGAAACGTATCAGCACGGTCCCAACAGAACATAACCTTTCGTCCAAGAAGGAATTTAATGCTAGACTCATCACTGATATAGTTGCACCTGGGCCCACAGAGGCCAGTGTTGAGACACCGTCGATTATCACATGAACGTTATTAGTAAACATGGAAATTACAGGAGGCATTTCTGTCGAAATCGAATACTATCCAGCGACCTCACCACCAACGGTCGGGCCGACTAGTTTCCCGGAGGCGGCGAAGGGTAGCGGCGCCTAGGAAACGGCAACCTATTGGAGCGAGGGGCTGGCGGAGAGTGTCAGACCACAGTCAGAGGGCGGACAACGGTTTCGCAGTGGCCTTAGTATCTCGTGAGATGTGCTTCCAGGGAACGCTGGTTCTCGTGCAAAGCCGGACAGGTGGGATCTCGGTGGGCGGTCGTACCTCGGCGGCTGTCGGTAGTTGCAGTACCTGGCAATGTGGCCTTCGATGCCATAGTTGTAGCAGACGGGTAGGGGTCGATCATCGAACCACTTCTAAGAGCGCTCCGCTGTGTAAGGTCGCCTACCCGAACGGAGTGGAGGAGCTTGCTGAACGGGAACTGCCCGCCTTTGTGGAGTGGGGCCGGGACGAAGGCGTCGGCCATACCGCTGGTCAGGCGCGAATGAGTTTCGGTGTGGCCAGGAATTTCTAGCTTTGCTAACGTCCGTCACACATACAGATGGTGGCAGAGTAGCGAACGACGCTAGGTAGTAGGATGAACAGGTAGGCGGATAATTGATGGTGTTGTCGACCAGTGTGTCTTGTCGCTGTAGTTCTTCGCGCACTATTGCCCTGATAATAGCGGCAAGGTCGGCAGGCGGGCTAACGTTGACGCTGGCGATCGTTGTTACATTTGCCAGCCTACCGAATTTCGGGACAATACGACGGGTCCTCAGCTTCTCGAAAGTACGGCAGAGATGTTGGACGGCGAAGACGGAAGTGAGGTCTTCCCTGCCTTTCAAAAAATTGTAGGTGTCCTCTGCTTCAGAAGGTGTCCGACCATGTCCTCTTCAGACATATGCGGGTCTATGATCTTGCAGAGCATCAGAACCTCCTCTATGTAGGTGGTAAATGTTTCTCCAGGACTCTGGGCTCTTTGAGCCAACGTGCGTGTGATAACGTGGGTTCAGGATTTGCTCCAGAAAGAATAACGCAGCGCGCAGATGG